ATCTATATTCACAGCTGTACAAAAGATAATTTTAATCCATACAATGTGAACCCTGATTGTGTTCTATATAATACCTCCTTTTAATTGAGGGTATAATATTACATCACAAATGCCTTTATCAAGCAGACTGTTAATCTCGTCACAAAGGAATAACAGGATGTTTGGCAAAAGCATTTTCAATTAAACCATGTTGACTCACATCAGTTATTTTATTTCTCAGCTAAATGCCCTGGCCAGGATTAGCATCAGGCAGAAAGGTCCCTTGTTCATCTCTTTTAGTACTTTTAATATATTGAGAATGTGAAGCACCATTTCCCACTTCTTCTAAGATTGATTAAGTCAGCAACGCTTTACAGTTACCAGTGCAGAACTCCCATTGATCTCAACAGGGCTTGTAAATTTAGATGCAGCAAGAAAAACCCAAACGGTATTAGCAATTCAATGAATTTACCTATTATAGCCACATGCAAAGGAAGACAGAGCTCCTATACTTTTAACTGCTATATGGAAGAGGAAATTTTAACAGCTTCCCCTACAAGACAAAACTTGACTGCAAAGTACCATCTTCCATTGATTTAATTTCTCTCTCTCTCTGAGCAACTGTTAAAGGGACAGGAGCCCTTGCCTCTGAGCATCTTGTCACTCTCTCTGCTACTTCCTTTAACAAAGATGTGAAAACCAGAGACTAATGAACTGTGTGTATTCAACCTTACACCTTTCTTCAATAAGAATGCCATACTCTCATACCTACATACTGCAAAATGGACAATGCTTCCAACTCCACTCCAAATAATGAACAGAAATATCCACTGAACACATCCAATCTAGGAAGCTTTAAACAGGTTCATTCCCTTACAACACCTTTACAGAGCACACACAGAGAAAAAATTATTGTGTATTATATTTATATGCCACTCTTCCACCAAAGAGCAAAGGGGTGCATACATTAATCTACCCTGTCTTATCTTCATAATAATTCTGTAAGGTATATTAGGCTGAGAGGTACTGACTGGCCCAAGATCGCCCAATAAGCTTTCCTTATCTGAACCTGGATCTCCTGGTCCTTGTCCAACAACCACGCCACACTGACTTTCAATAGTACCACTTACCCACTGAAATAGCTTATTGTAGGATTTGATGGCTAAAATAGCTTGAGGATTTAGATATGAATCCTCTTCCTCTTACCAACAAGGGGATGTGTAGCCACAGCTCCCTCCAATTATAGGATCCTACAAATATCATTATGGCTCTAAGTTAAGAATGAAGGTTGAGAAATATAACAACCCTGGAAGCACCAGATTAAGTCGCATGTAATTTTTCATTCATCCCTGTTCTATTTCAAGACGAAAACCTCAGGCCTCCAAAGAATCAGCAGGAGTTTTTCAAAAAGATGTTTTCCTTGGTTATACTAGAAGCTGCCTCTGTACTGGAAGCTGCCTTCTGTGTGCTGGAAGCAGCTGTAGATTAAGTTTTGCGAAGCTGCTGTTTGAATGGAATGACAGCCCCTGCTGTGCAAGCCAAAGTGGGAGGGAGCCACTGATGCAAGCATATTGCTCCTACAAGCTGGCTGGCCTACAAAAGGTACTCCCGTCATTCTGTTTAATATCAGCAAATGGGATAACAGCCATACATGGTGGAGTCCTGTCATTAGTCTTCTAATGCACTTGTATAGCTCTGATGAGGGGGACTGACAGATTTATTAGCACTATGCACAGCACATACCCTTGATGTTCACATTGCTACTAATTAATATTCAATCCATATACAAAGTACACCCAGTCTTGAGGGTCAGCTGCATTAAATCTCATGGGTAGGCATTTCTGAACACTGCATATTATTGGTAGTATGTACGAAGGCACATTTGTTCTGTTTCTGAGAAATGGAAATAACACATCTATTGCTTACAGAGACATGGGAAGCCTGTCCATTTATTTCTACAGTTTTCTGCTTTTTCTCCCTACTCTTACATATCACCTACAGAAAAGCTGTGGAATGTCTCAGATATCCTTCCTTCATCAAACTACCCTGGCTGCAGGGTTCTTCAGTGTTCTCCATTCCACCCTCCTCCCCCCAAAAACACAAAACAATACAGTGAATTTTGTTCCAACTTTAACAAATTGGCATAGTCCAATCAAGTGTTGCAACCTCACCTGTGATCGTACAATGAAGGGCAAGATAGAAAATTTGCAAATAAACATGCTATTCATTACAGTGCTACAACAGAGATCTAGATTTCTTAACAATGTATCTGATAGATGTCTGCATTTAGAAGTGTTTTATCCTGTCCAAGCACAACTTGTAAAATATAATAAATAATAAAATAATAATAATAATAATAATAATAATAATAATAATAATAATAAATTTTATTTTATATCCCACCCATCTGGCTGGGTTGCCCCAGCCACTCTGGGCAGCTTCCAACACATATAAAAACATAATAAAACATCAAACATTGAAAACCTCCCTATACAGGGCTCCCTTCAGATATCTTCTAAAAGTTGTATAGTTATTTATCTCCTTGCCCTAATGGGAGGGCATTCCACAGGGAGGGTGACCCTACTGAGAAGGCCCTCTGCCTGGTTCCCTGTAACATGGCACTAGTGTCTTCCAGAACCTGACACCAGGTAATTTACAAAGCCAATTCACGCCCCACTATCAAGTACCAAGTACTGTTACACTCCTTGTTTATTAAATGTCCTTCATCTGAGGTTCATAGGGAGGTTTACAATGATAGAGGGCACCAAGCTATGCAACTCCAGACTGATATGCCAGCTATTCCATATACTAACCAGCCCTTGTATCTGAGTGGTTAACAAGAGACTTGTTGAGCAATCTATAGAGTTCTTTTAAAATGTCTGTTTGCAGATCCTTTATAGTGAAAGAGTTGGTTGAAGTCAGAAAAGTTGTTTTATAACACCATTCACAAACATTTGGAATAAATTCAGAAGTCAAAATCCTATACCGATTTTGCCGTGCTTCAAACGCATTGATTCTAATGAGTTCAGGCAAGCCTAATCTGGGTCGTGTTGCGGCCGTGACATTTAAAAATCTGTTACCTGCCAGATGATTCCATGTGCTATTGATGCAATCTTTAACCCAAAAAAAATGTTATGGGAAGTTTTTTTCAAGATGGGAAATGCACTATTCAGCAAGATTAAAAGATTTTTTTTTCCTGCTTCCACAATGATAAATTGATTTCCTATAGAAGTATGCATTTAGACAATCAAAGAACAACACAATTATTATTGTAGTTATTTCAGATGGGGCAGTCCCCAGCACCAACCCCAGATGCATGCCTTCAATGGTAGCAGTGTTTTTTTGGAATGGGATGGGGAGTAGGGAGAACGCTTCATACAGGAATCTTAAATATTTATCTCCTGAAATGCATTCTTTAAGTTGGACAACAGGAATTTGACTTTAAAATTATTTTGAATGGTGTGGATGGATTTGTATTATATGTGGATTGGTGATGGCAACAACCCATATGACTTTGAGGCAATCACGCTCTACAATTTTATTCACATGGTACCTGACACTTTGGAAGGTTAAAAAGATTTACAGAATAATCTGAAGAGTCAAGCTGGCAATGATCTGGTCATTTGGGTAAGTTTTTTAGAAACTTTAAACATAGGCGGCAATAAATGGCCCAGAACAACATTTGCCTCTACATGTTCCCAATTAATATGTCTGGTTATGTCTTGCCAGAAGCTCCTGAACTGGTAGTCTCAGCAAAGAGCCAGAGAAGAGCAAGTCAACCTTTGCTTCTGCAGTAGAACTTTTTTGGTTCCGTCACCTGCTACATAGCCCACTGTGTCCCCAGAAGCTTCTTCTGATGGTAAGTGGACCCTCCAGAACAGCATTAGATGGGACACAGGTGGGCTGTAGTAGAGAGAGAAATCAACCAGGCTGCCTTTAACAAGTGGTAGTGCCCTTCTACTCACAAAAGACACCTTTGAATCCAATCCTGGAGAGGCAAGCAACAAACAGCAAAAGGAAATTGATGCATTTGCCTGTTAAATGGGAATGTGAGGCAAGGAGGAATGCTAGCTAGAACTGAAGAAAAAGAGATGGCTCCCACAGTGATCCACAGGGTCAGCGCATGTTGACAAGGGAGAACATGGGCAAGATTCCTAGACATACCTCCCAACAATTGCAGATGATGGAGATGCAAGGTTAGGGTTTCTCACCAAGCAGCAGCTTGAATTTGTAAAGAACTTTCGCAGGGGCCCAAATGAAACATAAGCGATGTAAATAACAAAGGGCACAGGTACTAGTTGTCATAAGTTAGAGCAATTGAATTCCCCACCACAGAGGTGCAGCATGGTCACAAAGTGCATTCTACTAATCTGTGTGTTTGCAAAGGGAAGCAGGTTCTTGCTGAAAGAAACTGGTTTGGATTTCTCAGAAAATGCAAACAAGAGTAATTACTTCAATTAAGGCAAAGGTATGCTTGCTGAAGGGAATCTGTTCCTTCTAAGACATAAATCAATAGCAGAATAAGAGCTGTTACCTGCATCAGATATGACCATCAGATACGACACTGATTCCAAAGGATTAATTAGGAATGCATTAATGTGACTCATTTGTCCCTGAGGGGGAATCCTCTGTTCTGCAGTCACTCTGAGATCTATGTTTGGTGGGAACCACTGGGGATTCTCCTGAATAAATGATAGTGGGCTTGTGCTTCCTCCAGTTAAATGGGCTAGCACTGTAGCACATTTCACTCAAAGTAAATCCAAATTACATAAATAGTCTCAGGGTGTTGCAGAGTTTCAGTCAACTCAAGCTTTACTGATAACTGCAGAATCAGGTGGTGGTTTGCATGTGAGCCAACAGAGAAATTTAATATCAGCACACACAATACTTCACAGAAAATCTCATTCAGCAGTCAGCACCAAATGACGAGAAATCAAGTTCACAGAATTGCAGAGTTGGAAGGGATCCTGAGGATCATCTAGTCCAACCTGCATTCCTCCAGCAATGCAGGAATATGCAGCTGTCCCATACAGGGATCAAACCTGCAACCTTGGCATTATCAGCACCTCGTTCTAACCAACTGAGCTATCTATCCAAAGAACTTGGGTGGTGAAGTTTTACTCAGAGAAGACAAACTGAAATTAATGAACATGACTAAGTCAGTCAGCATTCGATTCCTGTTTTCACTCTGGGTGGGGTGAAGGCAAGAAAGGGACAAATTCAAAGTTCTACTGCTAAAATGTCTTTCTTCTTTTGGGGGATGGTATGTTTTCTCCTTCAGCCAAGAATTCTCTCTCTGTGTGTGTGTGTGTGTGTGTGTGTGTGTGTGTGTGTGTAAAGGGCAAAGAGAAGTTGAGAAATGAGGGAAGGCAGGGGGGGAAAAAGGAAAAACTAGGGAACTGAGACTTCAGGCTCAGTCATAAATTTGTGGCTGTAAATCTACAAGAGCACAAGAGCAGCAGCTACTGTGGTGGGCAGAATGTTAACTGACAGTTCTCTTCCAGGAGCAGACGTGCCTTTCTCTTGGGTTTGCGCAGTACAGCATTTGAACAAAAGGGGAAAAGACTCACTATTGACTTGTCTGCACTTTCAGCTGAAGAACCAAGAGGTCAGTTCACTCATTTACACATCAGGCGATTAAAAACAGTTTAAAAACACACACACAAAAAAACAGCAAATGCATTTGATACAAGACGAAAACTATACCAAAGTAGGCATTTGTGACAAAGACACATTTATCCAGCCGAGAAAGCCTGTTGAAACAAAAACGTCTTCAGGTCCCCCCCCCCCCCCGGAAAGAGCTGATAGTGGGTGCCTTTCGTAGATCATCAGTAATGCTGTTCCACAGAACAGAGGCAGCCACACTAAAAGTCCTGCTCCAAGTTACTGTGGCTTCTGAGATCTCTGCAACTTGCAGGAGAAACTCTCCCACAGACCACAGCAGGAAGTTAGCGTCTGTATTAACTTCAAACACTGAAGTTACAGTTATGCTTTTTTAAAAAAATTCTCCTTTGATTGATTTGCACATTCTATTGAATTTTTACAGTTGAATTTTTTAAAAAGAACACTGACATAAAACAAAAAATCCCAGCTGACATCCATGGTACTAAAAAGGGTCAAAAAATGTAGAAGAGTCATTCTGAAGTAAGAGAGAGGCACTGTTTTCAATTCTAAGGTTAGTGGTATAAACAGGGGACAACCTTGCGCTGCAAGAATCCCCACCCAGCCATGAAGCCCACTTGTAGAGCTCACCTTTGGCTAGTCTCTTAACCTAACCTACCTCACAGGGCTGTGGCAAGGATGAAATTGAGAGGGAAGAACAATGTACACCACCTTTAGCTGAGGCAAAACGTGGCATAGAGATGTGATAAATAAAAATGAGTAACTACAACTGGAAAATGCATTTAAGCACTAGTGCTACTTTTAATTCTAGAACACACGTTGCATCATCAGACTGGTACAGACCTACAAGAGACACAAAAAGACACTGGAACTCCCGTTTCCATGTTCTTACTTTATCTGTAAGCCACCTTGAGTCCCTGTCAGGGTATAAATTATTTAGCGGGGTGTGAATAAATATGTAATAATTATAACAATTCTCAAGGCTGGCTGCTACAAGAGTTTCCAGACCTTTCTTGGCATTTGACAAGTAAGTACAATGATCCTGAAGACAAGGGAAGCATGGTATTACTAGAGCCAGGAGACTTGTTAAATCCCTGCCACCCATTCAACTGATGAGCTTATTTAACGGTCAAAAGAAGTTGAAGGATATTCTGTGTTGCCAGTGGCAATTAGATTGGTTCAGAAAACACATGATAAAGAGCTCAGCCCTGTTTGGGTGTTCACGGCTTACATGCAAAGCATATCATTTAAGAGAGGGAGGGGTGCACAGCCAGGTTCCATGAGCTCGGGCTCATCACCTTTGTCTTGTTTGCATGTCCCCGCCTCCTAAGTAGGGTTCCAGAAGGCAAATCCCTGCTTCAGAAATTTGCTTTCCCATTCATAGAGAGTTGCCAAAAAAAGATTAAGTAATGCACTGAAGGTGCATTATCAGCACATTTTAATCACATTTAGTTGGTGAATGCCCAGATTCACCCTACAGCTGAGGCTAGGCTGGTTTAGCTCTGGTAGTTGCCTGAATAGGACCTGGTGGCGGCTGGTGTGCACTGGGACTGGTAAGGCAGAGGCAGGGAGATCAACAGTAGCTGGAGCCAGAGCCAATGGTAGACAAGGAGAACCATTTCTAGTTTTTGTCCCTATCCTCCTTTCTGATGCTACGCATAAGGGCAACACTTGACAGATGACAGCCAGGGCCAACCCCTGGACTGGTTGTAAAGCAAGACCAGTCTCCACTGGAAAACACTCCTTGGAAATGCTGGAGGAGCCACTCTGAGCTCTTTGGAGGAAAACTGCTACGTAGGTTTTAACTTTCTCTATTGTGCGATAGATAGATGATCGATAGAGAGAGAGAGAGAGAGAGAGAGAGAGAGAGAGATCCCTCCACCTTTCCTCTCCTTCCTTACTGTTCCATGACCTATCACCTCAGTTTATTGAATAATTATAAAAATGCCCCACTTTCTCAAACACACATGCAATCACCTAGCAGCGTGGGAGCCAATTCACAAACCCTGGACAACAGGGATGTGGTTTTGATAAGTGACAGAAGTGTTTAATGGGAGTCCTGTATATACCAACCCAGGTGCGGACCTTCTGTTCTGCACAGGTGAATACCATACAGATCACCCCAGATGCTATCATGTTTGAGGGGAAACAGAGGACACCAGGAATTTACTGTGCTTGTGCCGTCCTCTGTTGGAGATGGTCTCTGATTGTTTCTCATTTTATCGTCTTAGATGATGCCTTCCTAAAGGCAAAACTATGAAGATAACTTCTGCATGTGTTTACAATACATCATCATCACCTTCTTCTTCTTCTTTCCCCTAATGCACATACTTTTGTCCCCAGAGCCATTCATCTGCTTCCTTTGGCGCCACAAAGCTGCAGATGCATTTTCTGCACAGAGCTATCATTTTACACAAGCTGAACAAAAATATTCAAAGGTGGTTTCCTTCATCTCTCGCACACTGCAAATACAGGTATTTGCATAAAATTTCAATCGGAAAGAGCTTACTACTGCAGACCCATGTGGTTTTATTGAATAGCTTAATATGAGCACTAATTCCACATATCCATTTCTAAGCAAACCTAAACCTTGCAGAATTGTCATGGCTGCCTCTGAAAGCAACACAAACCACACCTGCATTTCAACAGCATTCCTTTGATAAGAAAGGAACATGCATAAATCTGTAGGCAGTTGTGAATTGAACATCAGCAGCAGTAATCTTTCCATTGCATCTTTGTTCTTCCACGTCGCCAACAAATCAAATCAAATGTTTTCAAATACCATTTGGGGAATATGTTCATTTATCATTTTGGGGTGTGTGTTGTTTTTTAACTGGTAAATGATAGATAACTAGCTCTGAATAACAGAGCTCCCACATTATCTTGAACAGTACTGTCAAGAAAATGTAATGGCTATTAACTACACTTCAAGGAACACAGGCAACTTTTCAGATGTTATTTCAAAGAGATTTTTTAGAAAGCACGGCATCCTTGTCAGAAGCTGGCATCGGTTTAAACACAATCATTTTCAGGTTCGTGCCACAGGACATAATGCACTTCAATCTTCTAAATGCATATAGCGTAACAGTGTGATAGATACCCAAACACCAGTTTATCTTACATTTAATGCTTAGTGCTCACAGGGGGAGGAGAGAGTAAATCTCAAACTGACATGCATCAGAATGGAGATAGGGTGGATCATGTGACTGAATGTTCCTCCTATCTTCCCATATCTAAAGGGCTGTCACATGGAAGATGACGCAAGCTTTTTTATTCTGCTCTGGAGGGTAGGACCCCAACCAATGGCTTCAAGTGCCAAAGAAGGAGACTCCGACTAAACATCAGGCAGAACTTTCTGACTGTAAGATCTGTTCGACAGTGGAACGAACGTCCATGAGAGATGGTGGACTCTCCTTCATTGGAGGTTTTTTAAGCAGAGGTTGGTGGCCATTTGTCATGGAGATTCTTGCACTGTGGGGATTTGGACCAGATGACCCTCAGGGTCCCTTCCAACTCTACCATTCTATGATTATATGTCATGGATTAGGCTCAACTAAAGCCCTTCTGTAATATGCTAATGCAGACATCCCCAACCTGCGGCCCTCCAGATGTTTTAGCCTACAACAAGACCAGTGGTCAGGGATAATGGGAATTGTAGTTCAAAACATCTGGAGCGCCGAAGGTTGGAGATGCCTGTGCTAGGGACTCAGGAACAAAGGGAGCTGCCTTAAACCAAGTCAAACGGCTGGGTCAAGCAACTCAGTAATCTGTACTCTTCTCACTTGTGGCTTGGAAGTTTACTTGAATTTACAGCAATGCCTTTGTTTAATACCTTTTCCCACTTCAACTTGCCCTCAACTGCTGCTAGCCCTACTAACAGCTTCAGGGGCAATTTAGACTAGAGGAAAATAACGTATTAGGAGAGAGATCTAAACAACCCTGTCCCAAAGTCATAGCTCTGATCAAATCTGGAGTTACCACCAAAAACACTGAGAGATCCAATAAGACATCTTTGTGTCCTAATCCACTTTTGCATGATTCTGCTCTGGCTCACACACGGACCGACAGACTACACACACAAGCCACTCTTGTTATTTTGCATCTGTAAAGACTCACTTTTCCAAACATCATTTAAAATATATTTACTACTGCATAAATAATGTGAAAGCATTACGAAAGTTATAATCTTAAGCATGCTAAAACATAAGAATCTTTCAAATCCATGATGCTTACTTCTGGGGAAAGATGCTCAGGACCACACAGATAATTTACAGATCAAAATGTTAAATGTGCACCTAACTTTATTCCCTTGTGGTTTTCCAAAGATAAATTGCTGCCACCCTGTATAAATTTCTCTCAATAATCACCGCAGGATAGGGTCTTCTTACTCTAAATATCCTGATTCTAATTCAAACCCATAAAAATAATCTTGGCAGCTCAAAATGAATGACTTCATGCTTTCTTACTT